TCATTTCCACTCAATAATTTGCGATTTAACTTACTCTCGATAAAAGTTAATAAATAGCAATACAAACTTATATCTCTCGATTTCGACTCAAAACTCGCGATGGCAAGTTATAACTCTCGATCGCAACTTATAACCCGCGATCCCCACTTATAACTCGTAATCCCGACTTACAACTCGCGATCGCCACTTATAACTCCCGATCGCTTCTTACGATTCGCGATCGCTAGTTATAACTCGCGATCGCCACTTATAATTCGCGATCGCCAGTTAAAACTTGCCATCGCCTGTTATAACTCGCGATCGCCAGTTGTAACTCGCGATCGCCACTTATAACTCGCGATCGCCACTTACAACTCGCTATTGCCACTTTTAACTCGCGATCGCCAGTTATAACTTGCCATCGCCGGTTATAACTCGCGATCTCCAGTTATATCTCGCGATCGCCACTTATAACTCGCGATCGCGACTTACAACTCGCTATTGCCACTTTTAACTCGTGATCGCCAGTTATAATTTGCCATCGCCAGTTATAACTTGCGATCGCCAGTTATATCTCGCCATGGACACTTCTAACTCGCGATCGACACTCATAACTGGTGAGTTGCCACTTATAAGTCGCGATCACCACTTATAACTCGCCATCGCCATTTACAACCCGCGATCGCCTGCACTTTCTATTTGTGGCTCGCATCGTCATAGGGACCCTGGGACGAGGTGTACGGGCAATCGCATGTGATAGTTGAAGATGGTGGACGAAGTTGAGGAGGTATGTGTGATTTGGCTGTGTTTTTTAAAAGTTACTCTCCATAGTGTGGCTTTAGATAGGAGTAAACTGTGCCTGTATGATTCCAAAGATATTGGATTACATTATCCAAGATATCCTAAGCTTACTTTAGCGATGCGATTTAGCATCTTTTGACACATGAATATACATCTTTTTATCTGTTTGTAGGTTGTTAGATTCCTCCGAAGCAGAGGAGTTAATGAAGACGTCATTATCAGATTTAGGTAAGAGAAGGTAAAGTTCAAGTAGTATTACAGTAATAATTTACGTATAGGTGGTACTTTCAAAGGCAAGCTCACATTTAAACAAGCAATTAAGATTAGACGTTTTTCGTTTGAAACGGTGTGTTGCCTTCATTGGCAGCCGCGAAACTTTGCCTAGGTGGTAATATCTCTACGTAAAAAAGCCCTTAATGAAGCATTCATTGAATAATAACAAGCAAAACAGAGCGAAACATACTTGTCTTCTGTGCGGGTTCTTTCTCTAGATGCATTCTGTTTGTTCTTTATTTACATTAGACAAAGTCACGGGTTACGATTTATTATGCCAGGGACCGTTCCTAATTTAAGGATTGGGGGGGTAATGGGGATTTTTTCCGGGGGGGGGCATTAACTTTCATCCAAAACATTTAGGAGGGGCCATCAAAATTCAATTGACTACTCCAGCGAAAAAAGCATAACATACCATAACGCTCTTTGTTTGTCACCCCAAAATTTTTTCCTTAGTTTCTCTTGAGGCCATTTTAACTTCCAAGAGAAACCAAAGACAATTCTTATGCAAAATTTTGGAGTGACAAAAAAAGAGAGCATTATGGTATGTTAGGGTATTTTCTGGAGTTGTCAATTGGTACTCTGTATAAGGGGGGGGGGCAACTTAAAACTTACCATGACCCTCCTCAATCCTAAGTTTTTGACTGCTTCTTCTCAGATTCAGTAATGTTTTCCTAGAATGGTTCTTTCTTGTTAGATCTAAGTAGGCAGAAGGGCTGTAATTCGTTTTGATTCTGTAGTATAAGTTAAGTGAATGTTGAAGGGTATGATTTCAGAGTCGAAAAGTGCCACTGTAGTGGTGGGGGAGGGGCCGGTTATAAAATACTAGAAAAACAAGATGAAACATCCAAATAATATACTATAATTCTTTTGCAAAGCTTTAAAACTGAAACTGTCCACTGTCTTTATTCCATTCAGATGTTATATAATTAAGTCATAATATTTGAATATTTAATGTTTTCATCATGTAATCTTTTTCTTTTTCATTTAACTATGTAAATATTCTGTACTTTCTGTGTAACAAAGCATTAATAAAAAATAAAAATTAATAAAGTCATCTAAATAATATATTGTGCAAGGTTATTTTATGCAATATTGAGTTAAAGTTCTAAAAAAGACTTCATTGTTGAGGCCTAAATGTTGTTTGTATCAGCAATTCAAAGTGATTTAAAGCACACGTGGTAGGAGGAGCGGGTCATGGTATTTTACCTTTGCTGCAAGCTCTCATGAGGGGGTGGAAGGGGGGGCAGAAAAGAATCTTACACCACCAGGGGGGCTAGAATAAATATTTAAGAAAAAAATAAGATCCTCATAGGCTCTAAACCCATAAATTATGAACCGTCCCTAAAACAAGCTTAACTCAAAGCTAGCTAGCTCCCCTAAAATCTCTTGAACCAAAGTACAAGGTCCTATGCACCCTAGAAAATGTCTAGGTTCTGAAAATCCATGTGCTGCATGAAATTAACTCCGCTTACCACTAAATCCAGGATGGTCTTTTCTTTGAGAGTTGTAGAATTTTTTAAAATGGACAGGCCTGTAAAATTTGATGATCAAATTGACTACCATGACAGGCCCTACCTGAAAAGGGTGCTTTTTGCTTCAGCAGAAATGGGCAAAGATGTTTGAAATCGGGACAATTTCTAGGATGGATAGGATGTGCTTAAACTCTGACTGGGAAAAATTGCAGAATGGATGGATGGATTAGTAAAGCTAAGTTTGAAAAAAAAATTAATGGTTATTTCAGATGTCAATTTCGGACTAGACTTTGTTTAACGTGGAAAAATTGAACATTACATTCTTGGTTTGGGGGAGTGACTTTCAAGAAAAAACCCTAAAAGATACCAAAATAGCCTTACTTATAATTTTGACCAGAAAGCCAGAACCCTGTCCATTTTATATTGGAGTAGTTCCCCTCCCCTCCTATGGAAACAAAATAGTCCCTTGAACAGCTTTAAAGATACCAATATGGAAAGAAAAACACAAGGGGCAAGTATGTTTTGTTGTTGTCTTTGAAATCTCATTATTCAGGGTGAGTAGTGGAATTGATTTAAGTGACATGCAAGGTAATTTTCTTAAAATCTAGAATCCTTTCTTTTTTGACATTCAGAAAGTTCTCAGTTACAGCTTTTAGTCATACACTATTAGACTCAAGGTATAGTGTAATTTTCACTAAATGGATCCCTTTTTGCCATGTGTGTAGTTGTAGATGATGAATTTGGTGAGAATAAAAATGTGGCCAGTGAGCTGCTGGCAAAACTTTGTCATTGTCCTTGGCTTTTCAAAAGAATGATCTAGTTTAAACCACGAGTGAGTGGTTGTCCTTCTTTCTTCAGAGCTACTCGCAGCAAGCATAGCAAGTAAAGTTATGCACATTTTTAGATTGGGGTGGAGGGAGAAAAATGTTTCTTTGCTCAGGCTTCTGCTCTCGTTGCTTGCGGCTTTGTTGCTCGCCCCTCTGCGTGCTTATGATCTACTATAACTCAAAAGAAAAATAAGAGACTGTTTGCAGTCTAGTTCTGTTAAGGTATTGGGCAAGTTGCCATTAGAATACCTTTAATCCCATTTGCTTATTTTTTTAAACTTGCGACTCCTGCTAATCATTTTTCGACGTCTTCACTTGCTCAGTTTGAAAAAAGTAATCTCACAAATGTTTAGCGCTGTGCCCCATGTTGGACAATACAAAGAAAAACGTTTTCTTGTGACGGTAGCTGTGTGTCTGTACTCTGGTAAATCATAAGCAATGACCAGTCATGGTTTGTAAACAATTTCATAATTTTATTTCCCTACACAAATTAACGCATTGATGTTGCAAATGCAACGTCAATTGAAATAAAATAGATATTAAACGCTGAACGAGTCATTGATTTTGTATGTAAACCCCTCTCTCGGTGTAAACCAGACTTCCACCTAGTTTCACTCAGGATTTTCTTTGTTTGCTAGCCCTAGTTATTAAGGGGAGCTAAAGGAAAGTCTGGTTTAAGCTAAGAATGGAGTTTGCCTTCATCACTGACAAGTTAAATGCCACCGATATGGTAACTGTAGGTGTACATTCCCTTTGTCAGAGACTCATAAATTATACGTGGTGCTAATTACTAGGCTAAAATTAATATTCTGTATTCGTGCTTCATCTACAGATGGACTTTGTGGCAGTAGAACACACACCTGAAAAACTTCTTATTGACATGGGTTTAAAAAGAAAGGGCGATCTCTATACCTTAAAAGCTATGTGCCAGACAAAGAAGAAATCCACTGATGATGATCCGGAGCGGGAGACCAGGAAGAGACAACTTCTTCAAGAAATCGTCAAAGAAAAAGAAAGCCGAGGCAAGAAGTTTTCAAGGGTCGATGACAAATCAACTGCAGGAAAAAAAATGAGCAAAACCAGACGAATATCTTTGGGACTAATGCAGTATAGCAAGAAGAGAAATAAGTATGTCAGTGTACGCTACTCAAAAGGAGGTGGCACTTGCTTAATAGATGTACCTTTGTCTATGACCAAAGAGGAACTGATTAAAGAAGGAAAAGTATTGTTTTTCCAAAATGGTGTCTGTCCTCTTGGAGGAGAGTCAGACATGATTTTTGAGCTCGTAAATTTTAAAGAAGTAATAAATACCCTCAAGGAGAGGAATGGTGGAGCATTGCCTTTCACTGTGCAGAGGTATTTTGAGTTTTACAAGCTGTCAAAAGTTCAGTTATATATTGCCTGTAGACCACTTGTGGATGACGATTCTGACGATGGAGAGCTTATGACAAGTCCTTTCAGCGCATCTGATAGAGAAGACCTGGTGGACAAAGGAAAACAATGGCGCAAAAGTCTGCAACCTGCGAGTAAGAGTGCCCATTCAGATAGTGCCGCTTCCACACATTTTTCCATCGCAGCCTCCACAGCTTCTTCTCCACCTTCCTCTGCAGCTTCCACTTCTTCTTCCACAGCTGCCTCTGCAGCGTCCAGCGGTTCTCCCCCAGCTGCCTCTTCAGCATCCACAGCTTCTTCCATTGCTGCCTTCATAGTGCAAGACAGGGATTCGTCCTGTTGCTTTACTTCCCGACTTGATGATGAGAGGAGGCTAAAAGCTGAGCAAGACAAGGAATATGAAGAATCCCTTGCAATTGATTTCTTGAAGAGAAAGGCTTTAGAGGATGAAATCGCCGAGACGTCAAGATTAGAAGAAGTTCGTCGCGCAAGAGAAGCCAGAGTTCCAGTTCAGCACAGCACAGCACAGCACAGGTTCTCATTGTCGTACAACACCCTTTTCAGGGGAGGGTAAGTCGCTTCTTTTCAGACGAAGAGAGAATGCTAGCGATATATGACTGGGTAGGTTCTTTGGACCTCCATCCTGAACATTTCAGCCTGCATGCACAACCGGCTATTACAATATCTCCGCAAGACAAAGCCGTGGATTTCCATAGTGTTGTAATTTACGTAGAAACTTTAGAGCAACCATTGCCAATGTCGTTCACTTCTCCAGAAGTAAACTTCAAAGGTTTTGGGGCTGTAGGAGACATCTCAATCGCAGCAGTTACAGACGAGGTACCTCACCAACTTCTACAGGACGAGGATCTGAGGTAATCTTTGTAGTCCACCAACAAGCATGTAAATTTCTTCTTCATAAATACCGCTAAGACTATTCAGTTTAAAAAGCTATCGATTCCTCACTGATTTTTCACGTATATCCTGAGTAATACTCGCGCGTGAACCAGCGTCATTTTGGCGGGAAAACGTGGTACCCTTCGTCACTCTACTACGAGTCTCTATAAATACTGTATATTATAATTATTATATTATTAAATACGTCGTGCTAATCTGATTTTCATGTTTCCAGGAGTGAGTGAGATAGTAAGTGCTTGAGCAAGCAAGCAAATGATGGATTAAATCAGCTACATAACCAAAAGAGTAAATCAGCCATCGAAAGAACAAACAGAGATAATATTTGAAATAAGTAGAGCATCCACAGATATAGCGAATTATAAAAGGCATCCAAGTGGACTTATTTAGTGTATAAATAATGATATCTTGTCGATCCTCTTTAAAACTTTACCTATTATTTTCCTAGCGAACCTGGGACTGCCTTTGATGTTTCTGGCTTATATTCCCCAAGTCAGCCCTCGCATCGTGGGAACTGCCGAGTTTGTGACGAAGCCCTTCATGTGTTTGACCAGCTTGCACCAAGGAATGGGTGATCTGTGGTCAAACGTGAGCAAAGGAGAAATTGCATCACTGTACGAAATGTCCAGACCAACAGCAGCCCGCATCATGGCTAATTTGGCATTAACTCCAGAAAACGCTAAAGAGGCACAAATTTTTCGATGGCTGGAACGCTATCTCAAAGGATCTAGCCACCAAATGCTTGCCAAACTTCTCCGCTTCTGTACAGCTTCGGATGTGTTACTTCCTGATCACAGCATTGCAGTGCATACAGAAGTCATGGCTCCCGTGGCAATTCGCCCCAAAGCGTACACCTGCTTCCGCAGATTAATTCTGCCCAGAAACTACCGATCATATTCACAAATGCGAAACAACTTGGACTTTTATCTTCGAGATTGTAACATCTGGGACCTGAATGATTAACAGCCGGGATGGTCTTCCCAAGGACGGACTTTTCAAGAGTATGGTGCTTGCAAAACTCTCTTGAAAGTAAAAGCCAGTTTAAATGACACAGTCCTGTAAAAGCAGACTTTTTCATTAAAAATGCAATTATTCCGTTTTTTTGTTTGTAGTTAATTGACTAGCATTTGCGTCGTCTCCGGTTTTTTCTTTTTCTTTTTTCACATTGTGAGACGCGAAGACGTTTGCGTTAAGATGTTCGTGTTAAGATTTCTGCTTCCAGGCAGAACATTCAATTTCTCTTGTTAGACAGATGTAAAAGACGGCTTAAATTGAGGAAACTTCTTTCAAGCAGCATTTCACATCAGCCTCGTATTGATTTGTTTTCAACTTTTGAGCAATTGCTCCATTTTAGATAGCCGATCACAGTTAAGTAAGTTGATTGCACATTTTTGTGATTTCTTCATGTGTCAATAGTAGTGGTATAATGGGGTTTCTGGCTCACTAAGACCCGGAATACCATATATGGTCATAAAAAAGGAAATACAGCATTCTGATTGGTTAATTTACCTATTATAATAACCGGGTCCTAGAAGGACCCGGTGAGTATAACCATTTAGTCGTTCCATATAGTCTCCCATATAACCTCTATACCTTATAGTCTCCTTTCAGAGACCCGTCAATTCTTACCATAGAAACTCCATACCTTATAGTCTCCTTTTAGTTAATATGAGCACAAAGAACCCTTTCAATTAATAGTCTCTCAACCATACTATATAGTCTCCCAGAGCAAATATTAATGAAAATAAAAGGTTTTGATTGATCCATTCATACCACGTGATATCGAAGCATTTCTGAGATAACATTCAATGGAAGGGTCTCTCCATAAGTTCATCATTCAAGGGTCTCAGTTATTTGAAGGGTCTCTCCATATAATCACCTTACCAGAGATACTTGGTTCTCTTTGATCTTACTATTTTTAAGAGCTTTAGTATTTTTGAATTCATTTATTTATGTATGTGCCTGTAGTGTGCCTATAGGGTGCCTGTAGTGTGCCTGTAGTGTGCCTGCAGTGTGCCTGTGGTATACCTGTAGTGTGTCTGTAGTGTGCCTATAGTGTGGATTTGTGTCTGTGCTATGTTAATTTTTATTACTACTACTACTGCACGTAATTTTAATAGTGTGTAATTTTATGTATGTATTACTTACATGTCATTTTAATTATGTGTTATTTTTAGCTGCATGTAATTTCAATTATATGTAATTTAGTCATGTGTATTATCTATCTCCAAATTTGTTTAAGTCATTAAATGTTTCTAGTCTAAGCACTTAAAATAAAGTTATACTTTACCATAGATCTTCTTCTTTCTTTTTAGCTCTTAACAGCTTTAAAAGTTTTTTTACCTGACAGCGAGCTTCTCTGATTTTATTACTCGCGTGTATTTAGTTGCGTGTAATTTTAGTTGCGTGTCATTTCAGTCACGCGTAATTTTTTAGTGCCGTGTCATTTCAGTCGCGTAATTTTTTAGTTGCGTGTATTTTTTAGTTGCATGTAATTTTTGTTGCATGTATTTTAGTTTAGTTTATTACATGTACACTCTATTTTATTTATTATGTTACATTCATAGTGTACATCTGCTATTGCGCAGTACAAAACATATCGCAAACTTTAAATTTTTACAGTGTGCATTTGTCATTGCACTGTATAAAACATTTCGCCAATTGAAAAATGCAGTAAAACACTGCAAGTTCAATTTCAAATCTGCAGACTTTTTAGACCTATTTCCCATACATTTCCTTCTAATTTTTGATTTGTAGCGTGCATGGACCATTGCACAGTATAAAACATTTCACAAATCCAAATATGTTGAAAAACACTGCAAGTTTAATTTAAAATGTGCAGACTTTTACTGCAACTTATTTTTTAAAGTGTTGAAAAACACTACAAGACAAAAATTCTTAAGGTCCCAAGGCCCCTAAGAAAAATTCTTAACGTCCCAAGGCCCCTAAGAAAAATTCTTAACGTCCTCAAGGTCCCTACAAGGCCCCTAAGGTTCCAAGGAGTATTATAAGTGATCTATTCCAGTAATAAGGCTTCAAGAAGCTTTCATAAAACACTCATCCAAATGACACAATGAACGTTAGCCAGTGGTCTTAGAAAGAAAAAAAGAAAGACCTAAACTGGTACGCTTAAACGTTAGTGCTAATGCGTAGTGCTTTGTGCTATGTATATGATAAAAGAAGAAGAAGCAAGTCTTTCCAATACTGTTAGTATTAATCATGTTATAGTGTGTAACGTTTTCTAAGAGATTTATGGATGCGCTCCACTGAGTGGTTTCATATGCTAATTCACGTTTAGAAGGAAATTTGCAGGCCTTATAACAAAATGGATGAAATCATGGACGGGTTAGCAGATCAGCTTACTATGAAACAAAACTTGAATGGAGGATTGCTCATACAGTTGTCTTTCAAAGAGGAAAACTAGATTGCAGTCAAAGTCAACAACTAAAATCCTTAAGTGTGAAAAAGTCAACAAAATAAAATTCTTAACTGTGAAAAAGTCAACAAAATAAAATTCTTAAGTGTGAAAAAGTCTGCAACTAAAAAATCATATGTGTGAAAAAGTCTGCAACTTAAATTGTCATGTGCAGTTTCATTGCCCTATACCAGCCCACATCGTCCTACATTGTCCTATACCGGCCTACATCGGCCTATACCGGCCTAAATACTATAAATAGAAATCAAACACTTATGTAACATTTTCATTTGTGTTAAGACTTCATTGCGTAAACATGCCCTACAAGTTTAGACGAGTGTGCCCGCTATGTTATAGACAGGATTTGCTATACTTAGCTGATTATTTACGTCAAGTGCACAAGTTATCGTGTGAGGAACGACAACCACTATTAAAGGCAGCGATATTTTCTCATCAAGTGACTTCAACAGTATTCCTAGGAGTTCAACCTCAAGGATTGTATTCCCCTCACATTTTTCAACATGGAATGCCACAATATACAATGAACGCACCGTTCCCTCCACCAAGTATAGAGAATTTAACCACCATTCCAGCGTCTAATCTGTCTCAAAGTATGAAACCGAAACAATGCAAAGTCACCAAGTTACCAATACGTCAGTGTTTAGAGACACAAACTTACCCCGAGTTTAAGTTTCATCACATGTTTTCCATGCTTGTAGTAGGACCAACGCAATGTGGGAAAACCTATTTGTGCAACAAGTATTAACCAAGAATTGTATCGAATACCCAAGTGAGAAACCTACACAGATTTACTGGTTCTATAATCAATGGCAACCAAGGTATGATGCATTAAAACGAGCGCTAAAAAGAGGATCCTGTTTACCCAAGGGTTACCAGACCTAAGCAAAGATCTCCATGAAATCAATCCGGTGTTTGATGATTTGATGAGTCAAGCCACTGATAGTCCTGTGTTATCAAAATTGGTTACCCAAGGAAGACATCGCAATGCTAGTGTGATCCTGCTCCTTCAGAATGTTTCAGAGGGGAAAATACAACAGATATTAGTCGGAATGCGCAGTATTTGGTGTTGTTCCGCAGCCCAAGCGATCGAAAACAAATGGGAATTGTTGCTGAGAGAATATTTACTAAGGATCGCAAAAACTATATGTCCGCCTATGTTAAAGAAACCGAAAAACCCTATGGGTATATTTTGATCGACAATCAGCCGAAAACCATGAGTGAGAAACAAGTGATCTCCGATGTGTTTGGACAGTGTAAAAGTTATCCACACATCAGTACACAGTCAGAGAAAACCCATGTTACCACAGACGTACAGTCACCCATTACAGGAAACGTCAAATGTCCATTGCCGAAGCAACCCGTGAAACGTAAACCTGAGAATGAAAAGCCACCCGCCAAGAAAGCGAAAACAGTGAAACCGACTGCAAAGAAAGTTAAAACATTGCCTAAGACACAAAGTAAATCCAAACCAAAGTACCCTATAGCTAAGATGCGATGGGAGAGCTTTACTCCCAGGAACAGTCATTTTTAGAACAGAACTTGTAACTTGATGAATAAAAATCTCTTTTTTCTTATTTTTCTCTTTTGTTCCTTTTTACTAATGTGAACCACTAAAGAAATCGAAATTTTCAACGACCCCTTTCCCTAATACCCCTTCTATTTATAGACACAGAGACCACACAAGGTTTTTAACTATTTTAAACTTAGTTTAATACGTCATTTTAACTTCCTTCAGTTACAATTCCTTAATTTATTCTCAAAAACAAATCATGCAAATGTTCTTATCAGGGGTTCGCGCTTCCAAGCTACTGTACCCCCTAAGAAATCCTAGAAAAACGCTAAAGTGGGTTGGCGCCTCCATGCTACCTTACCTCCACGAGATACCTAATAAAGCCTTAATAAAGTATGAAAAAGCCTGAATAAAGTCTACTTCCAAAAAGAAGCGAGATAAGCATGAAACTTATTACTTGTTGGAGGAGCTAACGGTAAGTCTATACTAGACTGATTTCCATGAGATTCCATGACGATGTCTGCTTTTAAAAGACTTGTGTTGTTGGTACTTGCTAATGATAGCGCTTTCATGGAGTTAGCTAGTCCTTTCTGAGATGGTTCTTCTTCAGTAGATGTTTGAGAAGGTCTTGTTATTCCATTCTGATAATGACCGTGTGCTCTCGTAGTAAATCCGTCCTCGAGGATATACCGTTTATCATCGAATGGACTGAGTGATTTTTTGGTCTGCTTGATGGTGTGTAGTTGATGCTGATGACTGCGAAAATTCACCATAGAATGTTGAAATTCTCTTTTCTCCATCAAACAATCTTTGAAATCTTGATGTCTCACTTCTTTCTTTAAGACACTTTTCTTGATCCCTTTGCCTGTTTTTTTTCTCTTTCCCATCCTCAAGCTTTATGGAATACATTTTAGCCCGGAGGCCAATCCACTCAACAATAGGGAGTCCACCCGTCTCGTCTTTAAACTTTCCAATGATCTTTTTGTTTGTTGTGCTGTATAGAAAATGTTCTTTCGGATAATTGCTGGTGTCATATAAGTGCTGATCCTGTTTGATGTCTTGATACAGGTCTTCGGCGGTGATGTGATAGGTGAGACTGTCTGTGTTGGTGAATAAGAGCTTCGCTTTCTCAGGCCCGTACTTTTTCATTATGTGATTATAATGAAAATCGTACATGTGAAGTTTACTTAGCTCTAAGACTGTGAAGCCAGTGTAGATAGGCTTGTCTAGCTTTACAGAGGTACGTTTTGCTTCCAATCCAACAAAGTACTCCTGCATCATTCACGAAGAGAACACTTCTTTTGTAGGTGACTTTTGCTGTATGTTTTTTAAACATAGCTGGCTCTGTGATCAACTTAATGTTAACACGTTTCCTTACATCTTCCATTGTTTTTCCGAATACGCTGTTGTTCATAAGCTTGAAAAAATCTTTCTTAAACTCGTTGGCAGCAGCGGCTCTCAATTGTGTGTTGTGTTACATGTATGGTTTCAGCCATGGTTGCTGCTTGAACTGTAGGACTCGGTGAATCTTCTGCAACTTGAGACCTTGTGTAAGATAAAACTTCAGATTGCGGTAATGGATCACATACTTGACTTTATCCCAGAGATTGGGTACCAGTTTTTCCACTTTACTCGGCTTATGCCCCAGGTCTTCCTTTAATTGCTGCTGATAGGGGGAGAGCATCTCGTGGGAAATCGACATTTTTTCTGGAGCCAGTGGGTAATCTGAGTGGAGATCATGTAGATCGTTAGGATACTTTAGATCCACCTCTAAAAAGTAACCAATGTCAGCATCATCTTCTACTGACATGACATTGAAGCTTTGTATATCTTTCCCATCCATCCATTTGAAATCACCCACTGGGAGTGATTGAATCATCGCTAACCCAGAAAGGTTGTTTGCATCTTGGTAGATATTAAAACTGCTAGGCTGTTCAGGATTGCAGTCCTTTAGGTACTTGTTGTTGGCTTGAGCATAGCGATTGGTAATCATCGAAATACCCCCTTGCATGCCTTTCTCTAAGAACTGATGCATTTCAATGTCATAGAGGGTTTCCAGCTTGACTTTGGTAAACTTTAAGGCAGCATCCCATGCTAGTCCAGGGACTGTGTAATAGTGAGCGGGATCTAAATCATAATTCTCAATACACACTTGACGGAACTGCTCGAAGATATCCGCAAGCAAAAAGATATCTTGAAATAAATAGAGGTCGTGATATTCCCCCAAAGTTTGACAACCCATTGTCTCCCAAACTCTCTGTGCAAACTCGTACTTTTCTTGGGAAATAGCATCTCCAGTTAAGTCATTGTGGAAGGCTTGTTTTGAGGGTAGACTTGTTTCTTCAAAACCTTCAAAATTCTTCATATAGGAATAAGGGTAGACACCTTTCTGGCATAATAGATTGACATCGTCAGGTTTGTTAAAACCCCACACTTTTTCAAAATGTTCCTTGAGATGTGGGAACTCTGTAAGATTTCCAGCCAAAGCATCCAAACTAGCACCCGGTCCCAAGAATTGGAGGGAATCAAGAAACCTTAAGTTTCCAAGGCTAAAGGAAAGGTACTTTTCCATATTGTTCGGGATGACACTTATTCTTTTCTTGTTGGCATATCTGTGAATCCCCTGCATGATGAGGTGGGAATCATACCCGCGCAAATTATGGAAGAACACCGGGATGTGTGTTTTACGCCGCTTGTTCAGATTACATGAAAAATGCACCGCTCTGCGGTATTCTCCTGTATCGTGATTGTGATCGCGTAGTTTGCACCAATTTTCTTCTTTCTCATAGAAGAGCTCTTCAAATCGGCTTCCTGTTCTTCAGTCTTTACCATAGGTTTAACCCCTAGCTGGTAAGGGAGCAGTTCCTTTTCAATTTGCTGGAGACTTTCCATCAGCTGGTCAATGACTTGCTCACTGGTCTCTTCTAGAGACATGTCTGAATTTGGTGAGGGACGATATAGAAAACTACGTGATTCTACCTCAGAATGATTGGAGATTAAAACCCACGCGACGCTGCAGGGGATATGTTTTTGCACTTTAACGGTCTTCTCGTTGTCGCCTCCTTCTTCACATTCTTGGAGAAGGCATTCAAAATCACCATAGATTCTAAATAAACTTTCCTCTGTCTTTGCCCAGTTTTTGAACGAAATTTATTCGTCGACCACTTGAACCGCTTGAATGGGGATATGACGACAAATTTCAGAATGCTTTTCAAGTAAATCAGGGCGTATGAAACCTTGAAAGCAGCGTTGACAAAAAAAAGTTTGCTCATGATGAGACTTGGTTCTAGAGAGAAGTCTGTTAAAGTTTTTCACCAGAGCATAGTGATGCTGTTCTTCACGCCCCCAGTAGAGCAGAACGACATGCTTTTCGAGTTGCTGATCTGGTACTCTAAGAGGCAACATGATCGAGGGTAAGACAACTCCCTTTTTGCTTCTCTCTGGTTTATCGATACCAATGACAGTGACACTGATTCCTGGATTCTGTTACTCAAACTTTCCAATCTGATCAATGGTGACGGGGAAGTCGATTCCATCAAAATTGAGTTCGTCTTTATACTCATGGTACTTACTGACTCGCTCTGCATTCTTTAAAGTTGGATGGAGGGCTGCCAGGACTGACCACTTAAAACATTCCTGGTCATCATTTTTCACATTGACAATAGCTTTGGTATCATAGAGATCTTTCGGGAGTTCTATATACGAACTCCCACCTAAGGGTTGGTAATCCACCATTTCCAACACCAATGCATGATTTCTTGAGAGGGTCCACCCAGAGCCAGCTTGCATAAAGGTAGACATCCGCTCTTCTACAGCTTCCATCGCCATGTTTAGTTGCTCCCTGAGCTGTTGAGGGTAGGTGCTGGTGATGGGATGAGGTGTTCTAAAGTAACCATTATTTATCATAGGCTCTGTTCGATATTTATCTGGCATGGTGAGTGTACAATGATACATCAAGTTCCACTTAACACCTTTCTTTTCTTTTAGGACTTTGTGTAGATGTCTTTCTAACCTTGTAAGCGTGTCCTTAAAAAAGACTTGCTGATCCATAACCTGTGTTTCTGTTTTCGGGTAGAAAAATGCATCCACTTTAACCCCTTTCATGGCAGAGACTTCCTTATCAGCAGGTGAAACTCCATCAACTTTCTCTGGTAGTTTGATTTTCTTGACTTCCTTCTCATTTTCTTCCTCTAATTGTCGTTTAATGTTACCTCCTAATTGCGATAGGTGAGCGTGCTGCTGGTGGTGTTCCAATGTAGCTTTACGGAAAAAGCATTTTCCACAGTTAGCAAAGGTGCACTGGAAAGGTTTAGCTTTTTCTTTTCCACAATGCTCCTCATGAAGGTAAAGGGCCATTTCATACTGGAATGGTTTTTTACAGTTTCTACAGCAAAATCCTCGAGTTGCCACTAACTCTGAATGTTTTTCCGTTAAATGTTTCTTCAAATCATCTTTTCTGGAATACATCTTAGGGCAGTAGGGGCATTGAATGCGATGCTCAGTCGTTCCACAGCGTTTAACATGACGGTGAAAATAGGTTGAATGTTTAATCCAAACACCGCACTTGGGACACTTCTTTCGAACTTTATCCATTACTCTAATAGGACCCGGAGATGTGAACAGTTCAGCGATCTGAAATGAAATGAAATGAAATGAAGTCTGCATTAGGACCCGGCCTTTTATACTTTCATTTTTAGAACCGGTTGAAAGCGGTTAAGAGCAGTGAAAAGCAGCTGAAATCTTTGTAAGAGTTTGTTAGCTGATCGCAGAGTAAAAAAACGCTTATATCAAAGACAAGACAAGCAGTCATGAGTTTAATTTTACGACTAAAATCTTGTAGAGCCAATGCTCTAGCTATGTAAACAGTTTAAACTTAAAACAGCTTACACTTAAACTCCCTACGAACCCATGTTTCACGTAGCCACCATCTTGTATTTTACAATCGATAAGCAAACCTACCCATGACCTCTAAAATGCTGTGTTTTACTACATGCTATGTGTATTGCGATGTTAGAATATAGCATGTATTACAATCAAAACCAAGTCTCTCTTTTTTTTACCGTAGAAAAAGATATGTTTGATATAGTCAACACATGACCGATGGATAGCGATTGAGCGTTTTCTCACACACCAAAGCACTCTTTAGAGCAAGCAGTAAAACGCTCTAGGAAGTGCTCTAAAAAGCGCTGTACTGAGTAAACAGTATATGAAAGATTTAGGTTAGCAAAACTCAATGAATCAATTGTTAATTTAAGTGAGGTTCAAACATGAAGCGAAGCGCTCTTATGGGTGAACAGATAAAATAAGCACAAGTAAAAGAACTATAATGTATCTTGATAACATACCCTTAAACTTCATTTCATGTGATAGCTATAAAAGATGTTACGATCCAGAAGGTCACTTCGTTGGATATGTACTTCTCTGCTTTCTAAATAATTTTTCAGATCTCATATCACTTAAATGGTTTACTAGGCATGCCTTTGCTTGTCTTAGATTGTTTTGCTGACTCAGGGAATTTTCATGTAAATTTTGAACTGTATGTGAATTAGCATATGAAACCACTAAGTGGAGCGCATCCATAAATCTCTTAGAAAACGTTACACACTATAACATGATTAGTACTAACAGTATTGGAAAGACTTGTTTCTTCTTCTTTTATCATATACATAGCACAAAGCGCTACGCATTAGCACGAACGTTTAAGCTTACGGGTTGAGGTCTTTCTTTTTTTCTTTCTAAGACCACTGGCTAACGTTCATTGTGTCATTAGGATGAGTGTTTTATGAAAGCTTCTTGAAGCCTTATTACTGGAATAGATCACTTATAATACTCCTTGGAACCTTAGGGGCCTTGTAGGGGCCTTGAGGACGTTAAGAATTTTTCTTAGGGGCCTTGGGACCTTAAGAATTTTTGTCTTGTAGTGTTTTTCAACACTTTAAAAAATAAGTTGCAGTAAAAGTCTGCACATTTTAAATTAAACTTGCAGTGTTTTTCAACATATTTGGATTTGTGAAATGTTTTATACTGTGCAATGGTCCATGCACGCTACAAATCAAAAATTAGAAGGAAATGTACGGGAAATAGGTCTAAAAAGTCTGCAGATTTTAAATTGAACTTGCAGTGTTTTACTGCATTTTTCAATTGGCGAAATGTTTTATACAGTGCAATGACAAATGCACACTGTAAAAATTTAAAGTTTGCGATATGTTTTGTACTGTGCAATAGCAGATGTACACTATGAATGTAACATAATAAATAAAATAGAGTGTACATGAAACTAAAATACATGCAACAAAAATTATATGCGACTAAAAAATTACACGCGACTGAAAAATACACGCAACTAAAAAATTAGACGTGACTGAAATGACACGGCACTAAAAAATTACGCGTGACTGAAATGACACGCAACTAAATACACGCGAGTAATAAAATCAGAGAAGCTCGCTGTCAGGTAAAAAAACTTTTAAAGCTGTTCAGAGCTAAAAAGAAAGAAGAAGATCTATAGTAAAGTATAACTTTATTTTAAGTGCTTAGACTAGAAACATTTAATGACTTAAACAAATTTGGAGATAGATAATACACGACTAAATTACATATAATTGAAATTACCTGCAGCTAAAAATAACACATAATTAAAATGACATGTAAGTAATACATACATAAAATTACACACTATTAAAATTACATGCAGTAGTAGTAGTAATAAAAATTAACATAGCACAGACACAAATCCACACTATACGCACACTACAGACACACTACAGGTATACCACAGGCACACCGCAGGCACACTACAGGCACACTACAGGCACAATATAGGCACACTAAAGGCACACATACATAAATAGATGAATTCAAAAATACTAAGGCTCTTTAAAATAGTAAGATCAAAGAGAACCAAGTATCTCTGGTGAGGTGATTATATGGAGAGACCCTTCAAATAACTGAGACCCTTGAATGATGAACTTATGGAGAGACCCTTCCATTGAATGTTATCTCAGAAATGCTTCGATATCATGTGGTATGAATGGATCAATCAAAACCTTTAATTTTATTTTCATTAATATTTGCTTTGAGAGACTATATTAATTGAAAGGGTTCTTTGTGCTCATATAAACTAAAAGGAGACTATAAGGTATGGAGGTTCTATGGTAAGAATTGGCGGGTCTCTGAAACGAGACTATAAGGTATAGAGGTTATATGGGAGACTATATGGGAGACTATATGGAACGACTAAATGGTTATACTCACCGGGTCCTTCTAGGACCCGGTTATTATAATAGGTAAATTAACCAATCAGAATGCTGTATTTCCTTTTTGATGACCATATATGGTATTCCAGGTCTTAGTGAGCCAGAAACCCCATTATACCACTACTGTCAATATAGGAGCCCATCTCCTGGTTAAGATGTTTGGGTTAAGATTTTTGCTTCCAGGCAAAACATTCACTTTCATTTACTACTGTTCATGTGACAGATGCTAAGTTGTTACTTAATGATAAAATCACAAGCTCGTTTAAATTTCACATCAGCCTTATTATTAGTATTATTATTATTTTACTTTTGAACAATTGCTTCATTTTAGATAGCCGATGATCACAGTTAATATGAGACATCAGGGCTGTCATGAAAATTTCAAGTGGCCGGGCTAATAACACAAGTCGACGGGGGAATCCAACGACTAGGGATTTTGTTTGTAGGAAAATGTAAGAAAAATAATAGAACCAGAGGAAGGCAGGGGTCACGTTCATAATTAGCGAAGAAAATTCCCGGCCCCCGGCCCTTAATGACAGCCCCGTATGGTGAGTTGATGGCACATTTTCGTGATTTCTTGCAGTTGTCTCTCAAGATTGACACGTTAATAAAGAAACGTTGATATTACTCGTCTCAAATATTTTTTGTTCTGGTGACACTTGAGGGTAACCTTGTTCCCAGGATCATTTTTTCTCTTTTTCGGGCGAGAGAAATGACGGGAATTAGAGGCCCTGGGAACGAGGTTAACTTGGGGTTTCACGTGTTACGATACCGTAAAATCCCACGTTTAAGCCCCACCCCCGGTTTTAATCCCCTTGGATATAAGCCCATCCATTTGCTAATGAAGATATTATTCCTGTTTATAAGCCCATGTAATGTATAGGTGCGTTTCTCTATAGACAAAAATTTTTCAATATCTAAAGTTATAGGCATAAACAAGTGGCTGTGGAGTTTAGAACAATAACTACGACGAAGTTCACGACGACGACGTCTGTTGACTGAGAAAGGACTGGAACGAGAACGTCAGTTTCGGCGGGAAAAAGGAAACTTAAGATGCAGTCGATCGGGTAGGTCGACGACGACGACACTGAATGTAAACAAACATGTAGAAGTAGTACAACTGTGATGTTCGCTCGTAACAAAGTTTTTTCGCAAAGGCGTCTTTTAAGACGATGCAAGATCTTATTTTATAAGCCGTACGTCTACTTTCATTCTTTTTCATTCTTACCTCCTTCTCCTAAACCGTCTCTTCGATCGCATTTCAACACCCTCTGGATCCAGACCCTTAATGATACGCCTAACTGTTTCTCGATCAATCACAACACCATGATCACTCAACATTCGTTGATGCATTTGTCGATATCCAATAGTACTCCCACTCCACCGTAATTCATGCTCTGCTGCATCGATGACTGTTTCTACATTTGACTGGATATTTCTCCTACGCAGTCCACGCTTTTTTAAGATCCTTTTGAGGTTCCTCAAACTCAACCTAATACCATGATACACCTGAAGAAATGAAAGCACTTCAGAGTAGCTGAAACCAAGACCAAAGTAGTCCTCTATCAAAGCGTCTCGATCTCCATTGCCTCTACGTAAATTAGGAATATAATTTGGAAGGGCTCCACAGGCATTAAGTGTGAAAAGAGCGATTAGAAAAGTCACAGCAAAGTAATTCCGGGTAACAACCGCCATATCACGTTGTCCTGATGGCGGTACTGAATATGCCCACGCCCACTTGCTGGAGTACATAGC